GAAATTTTTTGTAAAGTATATTAGAACTATAGTCAGAATTAAAAATGAAATCTGAAATATTTTCGATATAAAAAACTAAAAAAAAAAAAAAAAAAAAAAAAAAAAAAAAAAAAAAAATGGAACAATTTTTTTTTTCCAAAATCAATTATTTTGTTAAGACAAGCAGAAATTTCTTTGAATCAATTGAATCGGACGCTTAGTTCTCTCAAAAACTGCCATTTTTTGTACATTTAGCTCTGTATCTCCGAAATGGCTGGGCCTGCCTTTGCGAAAAACTAATAACCCCTTCTCCCAATCATTACTAATTGAATGTTTTTTAGATCATTCAAATCGGATGCTCCGTTCACTCAAAAACTCGATTTCTATTTTCTGCACTCTTTGCTCCGTATCTCCGAAACGGCTGGACCTGCCTTCGCCAAAAACTAATCAGCTCTTTTCCCTATCAATAGGAATCGAATGTTTTTTAAACCATTCAAATCGGTTGATCCGTACGCCCGAAAACGTGGACGAAAATTTGTATCCATACATACATACACACACACACACACACATCCATTTTTTCTGAAGTATGCCAAAACGTTCAGAAACCTTCAAAACGTCGAGAAATGTAAAAATTTTCAATTCCGATTTTCGGCCCATTACAATAACTTACCCTACGGGAAGTTAAAAAGTATTTTTTTTCAAAAATTTCACTATTCTCAAAAATCTATTTATTTTGGTGCTCAATTTTTTTTTATAAATTTGAATTTTTGGTATGGGAAGTTTAAGCAATTTGCCTTAAGGCACGATGTCATGCACCAGTAGTTAGTACAAATAATTACCAGGATTTGCAAAATTCCGAAACTCTGGCTTTCAAACAGCCGATACATAATTAGAATCGTGTATTGGTATAATTATTATTAAAGGCACAGTAGCAAATGCTATGCGAGTTATGCCAAGTATTCAGCTGAGTAAATTCATCAATAGTTTAAAATCTGTGCTGGAAAGTGAAGAATTCGATCGAATTCTGATGTAACGATATATTAAAACTTACCTGAAACTTGATAGTTTAGAATTCTCGTTGTCGGTCAATACCTTTTGAATAATGAACACATATGTAGTTTTGTTTCACAGATTTTCAGAGATTCGTAGAACTTTTTTTTAAATACATTTTCTTTATATTATATTGACCATTATTAAAAAAATATTTTAAGTGAATTTATCAGATAAAAAACAGCAAGCATTTCACGACGTTAATTGAAATTAAAATTAAAACACTAAAATCGCTGTTTTGTTGCCTGCCTGAAAATTTTAGAATTTAAATATCCAAGAAAGTTGTTGAATTATTTAATTGAATATTCAAAAAAATAGTTTTCTCACACGTTCTATTTTTCGAGGAAATCGCCAATCTTAGAAGAGAATTCGTTAAAATCTTAAATAATATTAGTTTTAACATCTTATTACATTTTATTAAATTTCAATATTTTATTTATACTACTAATATACACGAATTTGCATATATTTGTTAGTATCAATATAGCTGATATTACGGAGAATTATGAAATTGTCTGCGACATTCTGCCATGATGTTTGCCGCATAACGATATCCATCGATATAAATTGGAAAGTGTTTTAATTGTTTATTATTATTATGCAGCCAATCAGAAATTATTAACTATGCCAATTAGAGTAGTTTAACAATAACACCTAATTAAAAATTAAAATAAAGTTAGAAGCACGTAATCATTACCTGGTTTACGTAATATATACTTCGTTATGTATCATTGTTTCATTTAATTAAATTTTATTTTTGCATGCGGTTTCTACAATTAAGAAGTATCATAGTTAATTAAAAATCATTTGTCAAATTTAATAATACTATGAAGTTTTTCAGGTGAAGATCTATTTGAGAAAATAATTATGTTTTGAAAATAATTTCACTACCTTTTTTTTCAATATCAGTTACAAATTCAAAACGTTGAGGATGTACTAGTTCCTTTTTATTTCCTGTTAGCTAATGAACATAAGCTTATCTTTTAAGGATTTATTAGAATTTTGGTTTCAATGAATGCCTAGGTAGATTTTTTTTATAAAATTGATAATTTTTTACCTGACACGTACGACAAGCTAAATTTTTTACCTGTGAGAAGTATATAAACTTGTATATACATACACATCAACATATACATGCATGTATATACATTGCCAAGGAAAAAAATTATTTAATCTGAAAACTAAGTTTTTTCAGTGTAATTAAATTTATTTAAACTGAATATGTGCCATTATTAAAGATAATGTTTCCCCATTTTTGGGGTGGGATCATGATGTCATCGGTGAAAACTTCTGTGGTTTCTGGTTGAAAAACTGAATCAATTGATTTCATAGATTTCCTTTGTAATCAGTTAAATTTCATTGAGATAGTATAGCAGAGGTCGTAACAAGTATTGGTCAGAGAGTGTTAATACTGCACGGTGGATGCATCAATACTTTCCAACCATAATCTCGCAACTTTTGGCAGGTGATCAAAGAAGTGTATGATCGGGCAAAGTCATGATAGAGTAAAATATCTTATTAACTTCCCGTAGGGTAAGTTATAGTAATCGCAAAAAAATCGAAAATGAAAATTTTCATATATCTTTACGTTTCAGGGGTTTCTGAACATTTTGGCATACCTTAGAAAAAATGGATGTATGTGTGTGTGTGTGTGTGTGTGTATGTATGTGTGTGTATGTATGTGCGGATACAAATTTTCGTCGACGATTTCGGGAACACGGATCAACCGATTTGAATAATTCAAAAAACATTCGATTTGTACTGATAAGGAGACGTGCTGATTAGTTTTTGGCGAAGTTAGGTCTAGCCGTTCCGAAGATACGGGGCAAAAAGTGCCGAAAACGGTAACTCAGTTTTTAAGAGAACGGAGCGTTCGATTTGAATAATTCAAAAAACATTTTACTTGTATTGGCAAGATGAAGAGTTGATCAAATTTTCATGAAGGCAGGTCTAGCGGTTTCGGAGATCTAATGAAAAAAGTAAAAAAAAATGCCATTCGACGGTTAAAAATGATGATTAGACATATGCACATCAAATTATCAGATATTGTATAGAAATTTTAACAATAAGTATAATTTTTTTTTACATTTCTATGGGTTCCGTACCAATGTTTATGCGTTAGACGGCGGCGCGGCACTTGCGCTGTGACAATTCGTCTCTATGCAGTTCAAGCAGTACGATTGCTTTGAAAAAAAGTTCAGAATTTCCAAAATATGTCAAAATGAAGAAAACATTTTTCTTTTCAAAAAAATAGTTTGTTTTCAAAAAAAAAAAAATTCTTTCAAAAAAAATTTTTTTTTTCAAATAAAATTTTTTTTTCAAAAAGAAGTAATTTTTTGTCATATTCCTATTTTCTCAAAAATCTAATTATTTCGAAATAAAATTTTTTCAAAAATGTTAATCGTTTTTAAAAAAAATAATAATTTTTGGTACGGGAAGTTCCAGCAATTTGCCTTAAGGCACGATGCCTTAATTGCCTTAAGACAGAATTCCACTTACAGCTAGTTTTTTTTTCAAATTACTGGTGTAATCTCTCTTGTTAGTTACAGTACAGTCGAGCATCAACTGTCTGTCCAACTAGAAGTAGCTCATGATGGACAATTTCTTGTCCAAGAATGTCTCAATCGGATGTTAATCCACTGATTAGGCTTCCAGGTATGATGGTATCCTGTTTTGCAGTAACGTGTCCAAGAGTGGTCGTTCTCGTTTCAGTCTTTCATCCCTGTGGGCTCTTTCAAGGTGTTTAACGCACGATTTTTTTGTAATTGTTGCTTTGAATATGGAATTCCTCATGTACTGTATTAATATTTAGATCTTTAGGTATGAGCGAATTTCGAACATATTTAGCACCATTTACTTTTTCTAGAAGTTTATTTTGGATTATTTGGACAATTGTAATATTTAATTTTTAAGACGTTCCCCAAAGTTGGATTCTGTGCGTCCTTATTGGTTTCAGCATTTTTTTGTACAGTAACAACTTATTCTATGAGCTTAATTTGAATTTTCTGTTCAATACAGTTTTCTTCAAGTTGTTGACTTTTCCTTTCGATATGGTATTTCCAAGTGAGTTTCGAGTCTAAATGCGGTCTGAAATACTTGACGACGTTTGATTGTTGTAAAGTTGTATTAAACAGGCTAACTGGAGGACAGCTCTATTTACAAACCTGCGCTGCGTTTTTTCCTTTATTAGAAAAATATTACAGAATATATCGCATTGTTTCATTATTTTTCTACATTTTCAAACTAAAATTAAAGAATTGAACTTGACCAAAATAGCTCGAAGCTAATGTTGCATGGCATCGTGCTTCAAGATAAAAATAAAATGAATCAATAATCAATGAAAATTGATGAATGAGTAATAACAATTGTTTTAAATTATTTAAAATAATTATTATAAATACAGTACATTTTATAGTCGTATTTTATAAATCTAATATAATATAAGTGCTTATATTTGGACGATGAGCCTTATCTATGTTTATCTAGGTTCTAGAAGAACGAAAACATAATGAACAAACATCGTCGACATAAGCAAAATGCTTTTTGAATCACTTTAATCGGATGCGCCGTTCTCTCATTAACTGCTATTTTTTTCAGTTTTGCTCCATATCTGCGAAACCACTAAACCTGCCTTCGCAAAAATTATTCACTCATTCAATACGAATTGAACGTTTTCGTGAGCTTATATATACTCATTAAGATTATAGTTTAAAATTCATCAGAATTATATTAATATAAGTCATAAACTAAAACAAATTTATCTTTTCAAAAAAGGTTATATTATAATATAAAATAATAATAAAATCACATTCACAAGGTTACACTTTTAAATTAATATCACTCAAACATACTATACAAAAAATTTATAAACAAATATACTGAGAGTTGCATCGATAGAATTAAAAAGACATGAAGAAAGAAAAATAATGCACAATACTCATTCATAGCTGCAAAAATAAAAAATTAAATTATTTTCTTAGAGTGAATTTAACTTTAATTGGGTCTTTGGGCCTCAACACCAAATCCAAAAGGAATGTTATATCTTGTGGACGCGTAATTGGGCTCAGGGTGTACTTTCTTAGAATACCAGACAAGACGGATTTCATCTCAAGGAGGACAAACTTCTGGCCTGCAAAAAATTAAAATAAATTAAAAAAATAATAATAAAAGAGTTAAAATAATAAATATATGTTCAGTATCATTACGAAAGAATAGGATTATTATGATCGCGGTTTAAATTACTTACTGTAAATTATTGCATGTTTTTAGTTAATAAAGTTCAAAAAGATGTCAAATAAAAAGGGCCATTTAAGAAAAAATGTTGGTACACCATTTTTTCTTAAGTAGATTTTATTTTTTTACATTCACCTTATAGGAGACGGTCGTAAAGAAACATAATCATCAATTTTATTAATCATTTTTTTAATAATTTTAATATTGTTTGTACCGAAACATACTATCATATAAGAAGAATTCATTTTTCTTTTACTTAAACAAATTATAATATTTCTTTAATTTCGTTTGAATTTTAAAATTTTAACTTGAAGTTACAATTGTTCTCGGCCCTGAATATCTATATGTCTTCTTCATTTTGAATCAACCAGAAATAAACAAAATTTATTTTATAATTTCAATTAGAGTTCTCGTATTTAAAATAACAGTTAATAATGAATGATACAAATTAATTATTAAATATAAGCAAATTGAGTTTAAAATGAGGAGTTAAATATATGTCAATATAATTTTAATTATTTTTTCCAATTCGATATGTATCTTCAAACGATATTATAACTTATTTAACAAATATTTTTTCCATAGGCAACTATTCTAATTTTATAGATATAATTTGTCTGATAACATTAGCAAATGATTCTATACAACAAATAAACAAAAATAGTAATTATATGAAAGTTATTGATGTAATATAATACAATTATTGCAAATTTCAATGAACGTAAACATTGAAAACTTATGGTTGCACCTTTTTGTTGCTACAATCTATCTCGTAATAATCAGAAGTTTATATTGCAAATATTTTCATCAAGAAATACGAATATAAAATTCCATAATATACGCTTGCGACATCGTCAAGCAAATTATCAATATAAAATCGTCGATTATTTTAAATTATATATTTGCGATCAGAACTTGAGGGTCCTATGAGTTGTGTTGAATTTCTTTCAAACTACATTTGTTTTTTATAGATTTTTTTATAGATCAACAAACAGTTGTCACATCTCTATGTAGTGATTTTTAACTTCTCGAAGGAAAGGAGGAAAAGTTCATGTTTCGCAAAAAAAAATTCGAAATTGTTTACGTTTCAGCCCACAATGTTTGATAGATTTTAAAATTCGAAAAACCGTTTAAAGGATATTGATTGGGAATCGCGTTGATAAGTCTTTGGTAAAGATCGGCCAGGCCCTTTCTTCATAATTAAATGTTTAAAATTATATTTTAATGATATTGATGAAATTTTGTACATAAAGGTTTTTGTAGTATTAAATAACATACTAAAATATTATAGGCCTGAAACGAAATAACATACTAAATTATTATAGGCCTACGATAAGCGGTTGAATTATAAAAATTCATCAAATTTTAGAGTTCTGTCGCGCGCTTTTGGCGATTCTAATCAGAATCTATACCGAGCAAATATGTACGTTTTGTGTTTCGTAAGAATCTGCTCTACTGATTATAGTTGACAAATAAAATACATTTTCAGAACCCAAAATAAATGAAGTAAAATATGTTAAACAAATTAATTCAATTTATAAAATTACAGATATTATAAGCATGTTTGAAATAATTTTATCTAAATAGCTGAATCTTAATTCTTGTTGATTATGTTGAATAAGCATACGTATCGGAAGTTAATGCAACTTGTCTTCAGGCAAAATGCTACTTACAACTAGTTATTATTACGATTATTGTAATAGTTATAATTTTTTATTGATGCAGCAATGTCGGATAAGCGCTATTTCCACTTGAAGACATATTGCTATCTGAATTTCCAAGTAAAAACCGATGTCACTCTACTGCTTGCCATCAGGCTGCTCAAAGTGCGTATCAAACCCGAAACCTCTGATTCAAGTCTATTCGCCACTTACCTAAAATACTAGAAATGGCTTAACTAATTTGAGAACCAATTAAAGAAGTATTAGGAACATCTTGCCAAAAATACTACCATCTAATTTTGGGTTAAAATTAATAAGTATATAAATTTTCGCATTAGACACTCTACACCAAAATAGCCCTCGTCAATAACTGCTGCTCTGTCTAAAATCGAATTACTGATTCGATTATTAATTTTACATCATTTATATACGTCGTTATCTTAATTTGCATTTGTTCTACCTATAATATTTATCTTTATTAGCTCTTATTTTGAAATCGATTTCTGGAACATATAAACATGAATGAATGAATTAATCGCGTTATCATAATTTAGTCATTCGGTTGCTTTTGCTTACATTTGTTAGAAATATTTCCTCCATATAATTTTCTTTGTTTTTATATAAATATATAATAGTGACGTAATTTCACACGTTTGTTATTAAAATATCTTGCAATTAATTAACTTCTATTATAGACTGAATATTATGTTTTACTTTTTGATAAAAAATTATAAAATCTTCATAAACATTGATAACTTTCTGAAAAAAATTCAAAATATATTAATAAACTAACTCTTTATGAATAACAACATATCATTTAAAATTCGATTTGCTAATTTTATGCTATTATGTATTTGTATATTTTATGATTTCAAGTCGTTCTGAATCGTTTCACACCAAAATTGGAAAAAGTTTTTGTGTTTATGTTGCATGTATGTGTATGTATGTGAGCCAAGTGAACCTACCAAACTTAACAGCCTTTTAAAAGTCATTTGATGTAACTTGGTAAAAGGACTTGTAGGGCCTTCACGTTTTCGCTAGAAATGCTAAACCAATTTTGAACTAGCTGTAAGTGGAATTCTGTCTTAAGGCAATTAAGGCATCGTGCCTTAAGGCAAATTGCTGGAACTTCCCGGATGTATGTGTGTGTGTATGTGTGTGTGTGTGTGTATGTGCGTGTGTGTATGTATGTGCGGATACAAGTTTTCGTCGACGATTTCGGGAACACGGATCAACCGATTTGAATAATTAAAAAAACATTCGATTCGTATTGATAAGGAGACGTGCTGATTAGTTTTTGGCAAATGCAGGTCTAGCCGTTTCAAAGATACGGGGCAAAAAGTGCCGAAAACGGTAACTTGGTTTTTAAGAGAATAAAGCGTCCGATTTTAATAATTCAAAAAACATTTTACTTGTATTGACAAGATAAAGAATTGATCAAATTTTCATGAGGGCAGGTCTAGCAGTTTCGGAGATCTAACAAAAAAAATAAAAAAAAATGCCATTTGGCGGTCAAAAATGATCATTAGACATATGCACATCAAATTATCAGATATTTTATAGAGATTTTAACAATAAATATAAATTTTGTTTACATTCCTATGGGTTCCGTACCAATGTTTATCCGTTAGACAGCGACGCGGCGCTTACGCGCTTTGACATTTCGTCTCTATGCAGTTAAAGCAGTACGATTGCTTTGAAAAAAAGTTCAGATCTTCCAAAATATGTCAAAATAAAGAAAACATTTTTTTTAAAAAAACAAATTAAAAAAAAAAAATTTTTTTAAAAATCAAAAATCTAATTTTTTCGAAATAATTTTTTTTTCAAAAAGGTTAATTGTTTTTAAAAAAAAAAAATTTGGTACGGGAAGTTCCACCAATTTGCCTTAAGGCACGATGCCTTAATTGCCTTAAGACAAAATTCCACTTACAGCTAGTTTTACATTTACTTTTGTGTCAGAGTGTGTACCAGTAGAGGAACATATATATGAATACGCTGGAAAATTTCGAAGTCGTTTTTGAAAAAATGTCGACTAATTTCAAATGTTGACTCATTACATCAAAAAAGCGATTTTTGACACAATGTTTGACTCTCTTTGAAAGTTTGATAAATTTTTAAATTTAGACCACTTGTCGTAGGGACTTAATATTTTAGTACGTTTAGTATTGCTATGATATCTACCAAAACTGATCAGGGCGAATCCGTACGAATATCAGTTTTCGAAGTCTTAAAATAGATTCAGCATTGCGGCCTAAAACGTGGACAAATTTCTACTTTGTGGGAGTAGTAATGATTATGATAATATATTTAATTAGAAACTCCCAACATAATAAAAAAATATAAATTTATTAACTATAAAAATATTTCGATATCAAAAATATACATGACATGTCCGATTGTTTTTTATAAATCAAAAAAAGCAGCCTGCTTGATATCGCCACAACTTTTCTGCATATTACAAAGAAACGGCTTGAAGTTCTTTCAAATATTTGAAATCGGTGCTGCCGTTTACGATAAAACGTAGACGAGAGATCAAAAAATCGGTTCACATACACACACACTCATACATACATACTGTTTCCAAATTTGGTCTCATTTGATACAGAATGACTTGAAACGTCGAGAAAACAAAAAATCGGGAAGTTAAAAATACCATAATACCATCTTCATTCTTTACTCATAAGATGTAAATATAGTTTTTGGTGTCCAAAAAATTGATTTTTAACTTCCCGTAGGGCAAGTTATAGTACTCGCAAAAAAATCGAAAATGAAAATTTTTATATATCTTTACGTTTCAAAACCTTCTGAACATTTTGGCATACCTTAGAAAAAATGGATGTATGTGTGTGTGTGTGTATGTATGTGTATGTGTATGTATGTGTGTGTGTGTATGTATGTGCGGATACAAATTTTCGTCGACGATTTCGGGAACAAGCTCAACCGATTTGAATAATTCAAAAAACATTCGAATCGTATAGATAAGGAGACGTGCTAATTAGTTTTTGGCGAAGGCAGGTCTAGCCGTTCCGAAGATACGGGGCAAAAAGTGCCGAAAACGGTAACTCAGTTTTTAAGAGAACGAAGCGTCCGATTTGAATAGTTCAAAAAACATTTCACTTGAATTGACCAGATGAAGAATTGATCAAATTTTCATGAAGGCAGGTCTAGCGGTTTCGGAGATCTAATGAAAAAAGTAAAAAAATGCCATTCGGCGGTTAAAAATGATCATTAGACAAATTATTAGATATTTTATAGAAATTTTAACAATAAGTATATTTTTTTTTTACATTTCTATGGGTTCCGTACCAATGCTTATGCGATAGACGGCGGCGCGGCACTTGCGCGCTTTGACATTTCGTCTCTATGCAGTTCAAGCAGTACGATTGCTTTGAAAAAAAGTTCAGAATTTCCAAAATATGTCAAAATGAAGAAAACATTTTTCTTTTCAAAAAAATTTTGTTTTCAAAAAAAAAATCAAATTTTTTCGAAGTAAAATTTTTCAAAAATGTTAATCGTTTTTAGAAAAATGATAATTTTTGGTACGGGAAGTTCCAGCAATTTGCCTTAAGGCACGATGTCTTAATTGCCTTAAGACAGAATTCTACTTACAGCTAGTTTTATTTTATCATTGTGATCTTTTTTGAACTTCCCGTAGGGTGAGTTATAGTAATCGCAAAAAAATCGAAAATGAAAATTTTTGCATTTCTCGGCGTTTTAAAGGTTTCTGAATATTTTGGCATACCTTAGAAAAAATGAATGTATGTGTGTGTGTCGGATACAAATTTTCGTCGACGATTTCAAAAACACCGATCAACCGATTTAAATAATTTAAAAAACATTCGATTCGTACTGATAAGGAGACGTGCTGATTAGTTTTTGGTGGAGACAGGTCTAGCCGTTCCGAAGATACGGGGCAAAAAGTGCCAAAAACGGTAACACGGTTTTTAAGAGAATGGAGCTTCCGATTTTAAAAATTCAAAAAACATTTTACTTGTATTGACAAGATGAAGAATTGATCATATTTTCATGAAGGCAGGTCTAGCGGTTTCGGAGATCTAAGGAAAAAGTAAAACAAAAAGCGATTTGGCGGTCAAACATGATCATTAGACATATGCACATCAAATTATCAGATATTTTATAGAGATCTTTACAATAAGTATGAATTTTGTTTACATTCCTATGGGTTCCGTACCAATGTTTATCCGTTAGACGGCCACGCGGCGCTTACGCGCTTTGACATTTCGTCTATATGCAGTTAAAGCAGTACGATTGTCTTGAAAAAAAAATCTGAATTTCCAAACTATGCCAAAATAAAGAAAACTTTTTTTTTCAAACAATTTTTTTTGTTTCTCAAAAATATATTTTTTCCGGAGTAAAATTTTTTCAAAAATGTTAATCGCTTTTAAAAAAATATTAATTTTTGGTACGGAAAGTTCCAGCAATTTGCCTTAAGGCCTTAAGACAAAATTCCACTTACAGCTAGTTATTTTACTTTTCTTTTTCCAATGTCTAGTTTTGGCTTAGTCAAGTACACATACCAATTCTTATTCCTATTTTATTTCATTTTTAATTCAAACCAGAGATTGAATACACACATCTGTTTTTAGTGCTACCATCTATTCGAGTCCAAAACATATTTATCGTAGTAAATAAATTTACCAGGAAAGTATTGAGAGCCAACAAATATCAATATGGGGCTGCCTAGGCCTCAGGGGATAAACTGTAAGCTCAGGATGTTCATTTGATTTTACTTAATTTTTAGGAACCGTTCTCCAAAAATGTACGTATTTAATGCTCCATTTTTTGTCTGTCCATTATACTTCAATCATAATTTAACGAGATGTAATTGGCATTATGCCTTAAGACTAGTTACAAAAAATTTCCTAGTTGATAATCGTATTATCAATCGATTAAGAATTGAAATTTAGCAACTTTAAAATTGTCACGATATAATTTTATGTCGTATATTCAAAACTTTGACGAATATTCATAATTATTTAAAGCTTTAACATCATATATATAAAGTTTCTGTAAAATTGTAAAAAAAAATTCAACAATAACTGCGAAGAAGTGGTTCCGCCAATCTTTACTAAAAACTAATCAGCACTGCTATATCAGTTTCCGAATAGTTTTTAAGTTTTCAAATTCGTTTCAGAAAACAGATTTTGAGAAAACGGGAACGAAAAATTTGCACGTTTTTCTGCTGAACGAATCGGTTGATTGCCTTGAAAAAGTAATTAATGTGAGTTTCATTGAGATATGGCTTTTGAAATTTTGAAATAGGTGCAGCCGTTTGAGAAAACGTTGCCGAAATGTAAATTTTGGCTCGCAAACTTGAGGAAATATAAAAATAGCAAGCTAGGTTTTCTGGTAAAACATTAACCTCTTCGAAAGTTAAAAATGATTCTAATCGTGTTATGAATTAGAAACCATTAAAATAAACCAAATTGTCATACTTGATCTTCCATATACGCCTCCCCTAGAGCACATGCAATATATTCTGGGTATTGCAATACAATACTTCCTCCTTTCTCCTTGCAATATTATTAAATTGCAATTTTATCAGTATCAATTTTATCACTATCAATCAAAAATAAAATTATTTTCATAAAAATATGACAGTTTTGTAAAACCCTTTTGTTTCGAGACTAAAGCCCAGTGAAATATTACATAATTATTATAATTATTACCTATACAGTTCCTTGGTCCTGCACTGAACGGTATATAGGCGAAGGGGTGCCTCTGCGCACATTGCTCGGGCAAAAAGCGATCCGGGTCGAACCGCTCCGGCTCTGGATAAATGGTCGCATCTCGGTGGAGATCGAATATATGGATGTGCACAGTCTGTCCCGCCGGTAACAAATGTTTGCCTGTAAAATAATATCAATTTTAAATATTATATATAGAATTTATAAAGAAAACTTCGAAAACTTACGCATATTTGTTGGAATTAAATCGGATTTGGAGAGGTATGAAAGTCGCTTTAAGAAAAAATGACATTATACTGCCAATGATATCAAATCCAATTTATAAAAAATAAAGCATTTAGCTTTTCTAATTTTGTGGAAAAAAAAGAAAAATATTTTGTCATAAAAATATGAACATCGTTTTTGTAGTAGTAGGTCATGTACTTATAGTAATATCTTAGTAATATATTTTAATGAATAAAATTAATAAATTATATTACTTAATGCTTATATAAATGAAACTTAAAACCAGAGCTTGTAATATTAATAAAGGGTGTCCCACACCTTGACGTCAAGCTGAAACGGGTGATAGTATTGACCAAAAACTGTCCTAAAAATAAAATAGAAAAAAAATTATCTCGCGTTGTTTGGAAATTTTTGGATAATACCATAATACAAATAAATCATTTTTGGTTATTGTGGTCAGTTTTTTACCAATTTTGTTCATTTAAACTTTGGACTATAATCATGAGTAACATTTCTAGGATCACAATCAAAAACAATAACATAATTGCTTGAAGTTTTCAAGAAGTTTTGGTGAAATTATGACCCATTTTTGGTTGTTGTGGTCAGTTTTTACTAATTTTGTTCATTTATACTTTGACTATACACTTTAATACATTTTTTTACAGGAGGGCCTATCAAAGTCAACCGATTTTAAAAATGTTAAATTTATAGTTCAACAAAAGGTTTTAATTCTTGAGAACCTGGGGCAATTGCATTATTGTTTTTGATATTTATCAAGGTTACGGTTCTAAAGTTTAAATGAACAAAATTAGTAATTGTTTATAAATTTAAACTAATTAGTAAATAAATTAAAAATTGGTTATATTTTTACTAAAGATCTAGATGCACTTGAAAGCTCATAATTTCCAAACAACGCGAGATAATTATTTATTCTAATTTTTTTCAGAATAGTAAAGGTCAATACTATCACCATGTTTGGGGTTGATGTCAAGGTCTGGGACACCCTGTATATATAGTACTAGTAAGAATCTAGTGTTATAGAAAATACAGATTCAATATATTTTTTATAAAAATTTTTAAGTATTTAATTTTGAAATATCTGTATCCATACACATGTTATTAGGATGTTCAAATATGGAATTTTGTAGTAAAGAAACCAAAAATTGTGGTTTGCCTTTGAAACTATGTATTTCTTGTTGCTTTTAATTTTATGTATGTAATTTTTTTATATATTAGCACTAACGCGAATTTAATTAAATGAATAATACAGATATTTTAAGCTTTTATTAAAATTCGAAAGCTTTACTCGAACGCTTGAGTTTTTATTCAATATTTGCTTGAAGCAAATCTCTAATGTAATTCTCATAATCATTCGAAAAATTATAGTTATTGATACTGAATTTGAAGTTATTTAAATATTCTATATTTTTACTTAGTTGTAATGGTTCTTCGTTATATCTGGAAATAAGTGGCACTGAAGGATAAAGCCGCAGTACTTCCTTGATGCATCTCTCCAAATACTGCATTTTCTGCAAATCTTGCGTTGTTGCCGAACGATCAGAATCGCCGAAAATTTCAGTTAATTCTTCTACAATTATTTTCTAGCAATTAAAAAAATATTGGTTATTTAAATACTTGAATGTAATAATTTAAGTTACATATTATAACTATAATACCTGAACTTCTGGATTATTAGCAAAACACATTAGTGAGTAAGTAATTGCCATAGAAGACGTATCATGACCCTGTGATTGAGATATAATTTTATATTAATATTGCTATAATACGATGATATTTAATGCACTACTAAATATCATCACATTCAACAAGGGGTTGGGGTGAGGTTTGTAATTAGATATGTTTAAATACATAGAATACAAAATTACGTGAAAATAAACGCATAAATTTATAACTTTTAATTCAAAACGTAAAAGTTTGTAACTCCAGTTATTTACTTCAAACATAAATGTATCCACTTCCTCGCGAATTCCAACATCACTAATATCGGCTCCATCATACTCTGCCTTAAGTAGCAAATCCAGCATTGCTAAACGTTTTTTAGGAATGTCCTCCTATAAAAACAAAAATAGTTTTTCAATACCTATAGAGAAGTTTAAGAGTGATTATGTGATTTTTACTTCTTACTTCTTGATTATCTAACAAGTTTTGATTTTTTTTTATATTTTCCAGAAAATCTTCTTTACGTTTATTAATGACTTTACACGTGAAGGAATGGAGTTGATCGAGAAGAGACTTCTGTTTTCGTCCAATTCTTGTGAGTCCAAAGATGATGTCGTTGAATAGCCAGGGACGAATCGATCGATATACCAGGTATTCACCTTGTCTTAATTGCAAATAATTTTTTTAATGAGTTTCAAATTATCTAAATTTTATATCTCATGAAATTAAAGAATGATATTAGATACAGTTACCAACAAAAGATTTTTTGGTCACAATAATTCGGTGATATCACAATACGAATTTGTTTTATTTATTTATTAGTTATTAGAAGGTAGTTGTAAAATTATACTGCTTTATAATATTTACTCTATGGATGTGACTGGCTCTTTCTTTATATTTTATATAGCTTAAATTCTATCTATGGTAAATTTGGTAAACTGCCTTTGGTAAATTTATTCATTAAAATTATTTATACCTTTCATACATTTATATAATAATTTATTTTTAATATAAAATTTACGAAATCAACTCATGTTGCTACTTGCTACAAGCTTTTGCATCCAAATATGTTTTTGTTTTCTAATTTACTCATTACGTTCGTCTCACATACGATTTGTGTTAGTTCTGTTTAAAAATGAAACATGTTATAAGACAGGATTCGATAAAAAACAGATCTCTTACACAAGTTTCGTTCATAAGAAAATTTAGTTTTGATTAGTAGACATTTTTCCATAATTTCTAGTTTTTAACTTCCCGTAGGGCAAGTTATAGTAATCGCAAAAAAATCGAAAATGAAAATTTTTATATATCTTCACATTTCAAAACCTTCTGAACATTTTGGCATACCCATTATGTTTACTTAAATATGGGCATACCTTAGAAAAAATGGATGTGTGTGTGTGCGCGTATATGTGTGTGTGCGGATACAAATTTTCGTCGACGATTTCGGGAACATGGATGAAGCGATTTGAATAACTCAAAAAACATTTGATTCGTATTGATAAGGAGACACGCTAATTAGTTTTTGGCTAAGGTAGGTCTAGCCGTTCCGAAGATAAGGGGCAAAAAGTGCCAAAAACTGTAACTCAGTTTTTAAGAGAACGGAGCGTCCGATTTTAATAATTCAAAAAACACTTTACTTGTATTGACAAGATGAAGAATTGATCAAATTTTCATGAAGGCAGGTTTAGCGGTTTCGAAGATCTAGTAAAAAAGTAAAAAAAAATGCCATTTGGCGGTCAAAAATGATCATTAGACATATGCACATGAAATTATTAGATATTTTATAGAGATTTTAACAATAAGTATAAATTTTGTTTAAATTTTTATGGGTTTCGTACTAATGTTTATCCGTTCAGAATTTCCAAAATATTTCAAAATAATTTTTTCTTTAAAAAGTCTTTTTTTTTCAAAAAAAAGTAAATTTTTGTCAAAAATTTATAGTTTCTCAAAAATCTAATTTTTTCAGAGTATTTTTTTTATAGTTTTTCAAAAATCTCTTTTTTTCAGAGTATTTAAATCTTTTAAAAAAAAATAATTTTTGGTACGTGAAGTTCCAACAAGTTGGCTTAAGGCACGAAAAAAATTTTTGATGAATTTTTAGGGATGGAAAATATTTAATTGAACGAAACTTTCAAATTTTATTCTTATATATTTCAACATTCTTCTGAATTTTTTTCATTAAAATATATGTCATAATATGCCGGGTATAAGCATTTTGCCGATGCGCGACGAGCGTGTGGGTGTCATTTGGCGGAAAAGATGCAAGTCACATATATATTTTTAATAGTATAGATTTTAGTTGAATCTAAAAATAAAAAAAACGAGAAATTCACCAATTTTTCGCAACTTGGAAAAAAATCATGTTTTTTTTATTCAAAATTTCACTTTAGATTGTTTAAAAAGTAGTTTAATTATAACTATTTTCAAGTTTTTTTAGGTTCAACTAGAATATAATTTAATCCTGAATACAAAGAATTTTGTCTCGTTTCGATAGGACGTTTAGTTTTTTTTTATCTTTCCGGCCAATTAGAAAGAATCGTAAAAATGAAACACCGAAAAATCGCGCTTCGAAGTTTTCGTTTTGCTCGTATACATGACGCTTGCTCACTATTTTTTCTGTAACTCCGAAAATAATTTGAATGTGTTTCTTAAATTTCAGAAATATATTCTTGGCTAGTTTTGAAAGGCAATATTTGAAAAAAAAAACAGATTTTTTTCAAACCTCTAAATCAGGCTTCCCTTTTAAGGATGCTGCACTATAGTTGTATCATCAAAATCATAGAAATGCAGCACTTGAATTTATTTATACTGCTTCAAATTAGCTTTATTTTAGCTTCAAACCTTAGAAAAACTATCTACAAAAATTTGATACAAAAAATATTTACCTGCAAACGGCTTGCTTATATGTTTGGGCTGAATTATCCTGATCAATCTTGAGTCCCATAGCAGTCTCTATTTCAAATATCATATTTTTTAAATGAGTCATTATATTATTGTGACTAAACAAAAAAGTCTTCACTTATATAGTATTTTATTATTAGTTTCTTAAACAGCAATTAGATTATTATCGATATCTAATGAATTAATTAGTCTGTTCGCATTACATCTTAATAGGATAAAGGTTATCACAACATCCACACTATAATTTCCAAAAAAAAAATAGTTTCTATATCAGTCAAGGGTAAAGATCATTGGCCATAACATGAACTAATTAATAAAAGCCAGATTTTACTTGGTTATTAATAATAACATATGAATACTTCAAATTTAATTTCAATTTGTATTCTCATATGTTACAATGACGCATATGTGCTGAGTTTGATACTTAATTAAATCGCTTCTTTTTACTCTCGGAAACAATACCAACATAGGATGTCAATACATATTGACTCTTGACCTTATTTATATATTTACTTTAAAAATAATTTTCTTTGTATAATTATTATTTACCGCATATTGTATGTAGTGTATATTCCGTCACCAATGGCACTATATTGGTTTCTTTTCCAATATGTTGCTCCTCTAACTTGCGCACCAAAATTTGAGATTGCTCCTCGAAAATTGGAACAAACTGCTGCAGAATATTAAAATGGAAAGCCGGCGTGAGAATTTTTCTTCTCGATTGCCATTTTCGTCCTAAGACATAACACGAATTTAAGTGATGTAGGTTAAGAGACATAGTTCATTTTTAAATTAGAACTTACCAAAGCTGGTGAGAAGACCTTGCCTCAGCCAGGGATTAAGGAAATCGTATACGTAGCTTTTTTTGGTATGTTTAGTGCTTGATAATACTATCTATAAAGAATTAACAATCAAAGGAATGAAACGGGTTATTCTGAAGTTAATAAGAAAATTTTGAAAAATATAGATTGATTGCAAATAAATTAAGATATATTATAATACATTATTAATTTGAAAAAAAAAAGCATTTATTGACGTTATATGATAGAGCATAGCTTAAAGATCAGCGGGTAAAAAAGTCCACTATTATTATTTAAAAACAAGCAAAGTATAGAATTTTTTATTGACACTGTTTTAAAGTGGAAGGCAAAAGATTTGTAACCAATCATCACTTGACTTCTTACAACGTCGCAGTCAAGAGATAAATGAAAATGTATAAATATCCATAACAATTTTTTTTTTTTGGTAGCTTTTTTAGTTTTGAGTTCTAAAAAGTATTTAGTTTATGATATATGGATGTAAATTTTAAGAATACGTTATTTATTTTTTTTGAAGATATTTTATTATTTTTACGTTAGATTCAAGTTTTTTTATATAACCTCTATAAGAGCTTACATGTAGGTGGGATAAATATGATCAATTGAACTTTTACATTGGCGAAGATGTAAACAATGAGAAATAGTAATAAAAAAATTAAGTTTAAAAATCTATTCTATAGAAGTTAAGTTAAAATATTCCTTTGACCTTTGCTGATGAATATTTTTTTTTGAAATACCAGATCAAGGTTATATACAATAAAATCTTTGTAAAAAGAGAAAGAAACATAACACAGAGTTGCCATGACAACGGTCTAATTTACCGTAATTGAAACCTTTACACGTTAGTCTGGTGCGTGTTGCCATTACGACCATGCCCGACAAAAAACAAAGCATTTTTATTTGATTATTTTATAATCAAAAGTTAACTAACCTGAACGACCTTTTAATATTTTCTTACCTCTATGTCCTCGGGTTGGCCAAATTCAGGAACATAGTAAACCCAAAACGGCCTTTGAAAATGCCATTGAATTCTCTACCATATTGTCGTAACAACTGAAATATACCGGCTGTAATAGAATCAAATTATCACTTGAGTCAGGAGTCAATATTTTACTTTCAATTACTAATGTCGCTCACAAGATAACTCATATGTCATAATGAATTTAATAGGGAAAATCGTCATCTTGGTAATTTTGATAATATACATAATCATATATTTATATTGATTTTTTTGTTCATTATAAATGTTATTATGTTATTTTCAGATAAAGACGGGTTAACAATGTCGACGATATAACAGGTCAGGGATACTGCTATTACCAAATTTACTTCTTATCTAACTGAAGAAACGCGTAAAAACTATTTTTGTAAAATTGTTTATTATTTATTTTGCTTTATCAAAAATTTCAACATATCCAAATACACACACACATATATATGTATATATATATAATATATACCTGAATAGTTTTTTTCGACGTTGGAACATATTTAAAAACAAATTAGCAGCCCTTTCGTCGAAATCAAAACAAAGTTTTCTTTCATGTTTAAACACTTAATGTGTGTCATCATTTAGTAATCACCAGCATAAAAGCATAAAACAAAAATAATATTAAATCTATATAAATTTTACACAAAACTAATATTGGATAAAAATAGATAACTATTGGATAAAAAAGTTCTATTATTAAAGTTTATCATGAAGTCTAAAATTAAAATCATGCTACCGTATATGGATGACATTGACAAACGCTGAGCATTTATGACAAATTTTTAAATAATTAAAACAATGTATAAAATTATAATAATTTTTTGTTTGCTTTTAAAGAAGATTTATTATATATAATAATTACTCGATTCTGGAAATAATAGTGGGACAGATTTCCCATTGCCATTTTACACCCCAGTTCCCGAAATTGGCTTATTTTCAATTGAAAACATATTTTTGATCTATATCTCCGAGTGAAAATGGGCATTGCTGCTGCCCGATGTCAGGTTGTTCAAAGCGGGATTCGAACTCGGAACACACACACATAATATATATATATATATATATATATATATATTCTTGATGAATGGACAGAAAACTTTTCGGTTATTATTCCAATTAATAAATAAAAACAATATTAGGAAAGGGAAATTAGATGTCTACAAATGCCCAATGTAATTTTTTAAACATAGTCTTACACGATCCAAAAAAGTATATTAATATATATATATATATATATATATATCATAGGGTCCAAAGTTTATTCACAAAGTACACCGGTGGAATAAAACAGAATTTGTTTCAAGTGCTACTTATGTCGTGTAGTGGAATAACACCAAAATGCGAATTTAATTTTGATACAACTTCGAATTTCTGCTAAAAAGTTGCGTCATCATACATGTGTTTATTGTTTCGAAAGATTTCATTCATAAATATATGATAATTAGTGAAACGTCATATATCTGTAAATCAAAGTACATATTATACTATCCGTTAATCATTGCATTATTTGGTCATTAAATAATGCCTCATATCTATTTCTCAAAATAGCAGGTTTGACGAAAATGTTATTGAATTATGTGCGAGATTTTATATTAAATATAATAAAATGTTTTGTATCTCAGTTTAATTACAGTTAAATAAATCATTTAATAGAAATGTATTATGATTCGAATTTATTAGGGTAGAACGCTACTTAAAGGTACGTGGGTAAAAAAGTCCACCACCGATATCTCAAAAACCAGTCAAATTAAGAATTATTTATCAACAATGTTTGAAAGTAGAGGGAAAAATAATGTATAACTAGCTATTACTTTCGGGAGAAAAACGTCAGTGTTTGAAAATCCATAATAAAGTTTTTTGTTAATATTTTTTTTGAATTCTTAATTAACTTCCCGTAGGGCAAGTTATACTAATCGCAAAAAAATCGAAAATGAAAATTTTTATATATCTTTACGTTTCAAAACCTTCTGAACATTTTGGCATACCTTAGAAAAAATGTGTACCAATGTTTAACAGTTAGACAGCGGCGCGGCGCTTACGCGCTTTATATTTTGTCACTATGCAGTTAAATCAGTACGATTGCTTTGAAAAAAAGTTCAGATCTTCCAAAATATGTCAAAATAAAGGAAACATTTTTTCCAAAAAAAAAAAATTTTTTTTTTAAATTTTTTATAAAAAATTTTTTTTCCAAAAAAGTAATTTTTTATCTAATTTATTGTTTCTCCAAAATCTAATTTTTTCGAAGTAATTTTTTTTCAAAAATGTTATTCGTTTTTTAAAAAATAATAATTTTTTATAAGGGAAGTTCCAGCAATTTGCTTTAAGGCACGATGCCATGCGCCCCACTAGTTTTAAGATAGATTCAAAAACTTACTTCGAATTTTTAAGGGGGTTTTTCTTTTTTTTGCAAAAAATGCAAGGTATTTGTTTTTGTTTTTCTCGAAATGTATTTATCATAGAGACATGCGGTTTTTTTTAAGCAAAAATTACAAAATCATAGAATATTACGTAATTTTCTTCTTTTTTTTGCGCAGTCATTTTTTAACCAGGGGGCGCCAAAGTCGGTCTTGCAAAATCGATCTCTTTTGCGGTGTTACAGATAAATCCGTTGCGCATTGCCCGAAACAAAAAAAAGAAACTACGTTGAAGTAGAAGTTTGAATCCAGTCCCCCTACCAAAATGAAAAAAAAGCAAGAAGGAAAAAAATGGCAGCTATTTTAAAAAAAAAGTGTCAAAAAATGCCTTTTTTTAGGGCGAGAAGCTTCGCAAAAAGTTTTTGCGTAATGTTATCAAGTTGTTTGAGGTAGGGGGACTAGGTATTGCAGTGGTGAACAAATTAAAAAAAATGCAAGTCGATCCGACTTGTAGTTTTTTTTGAATTTGTGGCACCGCATTGAAAAAAGTCAATTTGAGAAAAACGTATTTAAAGTTTTTAATATAATGTACTAAATACACCATTTAATTTAATGTACTAAATACATCATGTTGTTCAAAGATGCTGACACATTAAAAAGGTCATGTGCATGAGGTATTATAATGAAAAAGAGGCAGCTGGCATACAATAGCTCGCGGAGCAATAAAAAAACGGTTTCAGAGGATCATACATATAGATATATATATATATATATATATATATATATATATATATATAATAACTTCGTCAAAAAATAGATATTGAGATGATTTTTTTTAAAAACAATTCTAAGGTTTTTAGCTTTCATATTATCAAAAAATCTCAAAACCGAAACAAAAAAAATTAAAAAACAAACAACCCCCTTAAACATAGTCAAACAGTTGTTTGTTTGACTATATTTGCTCAAAGTCAAATTGAACTTTTGTGCCCCGCCCTACCCTATATCATAACTCATAAGCTGTTTATAATTAAATATGTTATCAATATTATCAAATTTTCTCAATGTGATAAAAGTGATTGTTCATTTCATTGTAAATTTTATAATCTATAATCGTATTTTGCACGACACTGGGTTCCCCGCCATGTGTCGATATAAATTTAGAGGACAGTTCAGTTTTTGCCTGATTTTAGAATGAACCTGGTAACATTTATATTTTCATTTGGATTACTTATTAGTGAGATTCATTAGACGCTCCGAAGTTTGCTAAACAATGCAACGCGTTAATTGCGGACAAGGCTTTTCTTATAGTAAATCAGCACTCGTACTGAATTTACAAACTCGTACTATTCTAATTTAATACGATGTAGAATGGAAATATTATGATCTTATCATTATCTCAAAAATATTGCTCTGAATGAAATAAAACTGTATTATTACTCTGGATGACTGTGAATGACTTTAGTAACTATATATTGTAATAGGTTTTAACTCTTTCCACTCGGATGCCGCTGCTCCGGCAACAAAATACACATTAATTCTGCAATTTGCGAGTGAAAAGCTATAACTTAATAATATAATTTTTTTTGGCTTGTTAACCTCTCACAATATAATACTTCATATGAGGAAAAACTGATGGAATGAATTGATTGATAAGTTATAAGTGAATATAGGTTATTTTTGACCTTTTTACCTTTTACAATATATCTTTACACTAAGAATTATACTGATGTAATTATTTGAATGATATGACTAAGAATAATTACTGATGTAATTATTTGATGCACCCATCTCAAAAGTATTTGTAAACAAAATGAGGGATTCTAATCTCAATTTACTAGAGATGAAAAAAGGGCTTTTCTTATCTATGGAGCTACATTTGGCTAAAGAATTAGATCTCTTTAATGCTTGTTAATACTTATTTTACAGTATTCAGTTAATATTGTTAATTTAATTAAATAGTTAATATATTAATTACTTTACTTATTAGCACTTATTCTTAGTATCTCACAACGCGGTTTCCATACAACGCCATAGCCGGTTTTCATAAAACGCTATATAAGAATTATGCTATACGGCTCAAATCGAGTTCTTTTTGTAGCGCGGTTTCCATATTACGCGAACGCACTCACCGCGTTATGTTTGAAATAATTAAAATAATGATTTTCTCGTTTCAATTCAATTGCATTCATTCATTAATTTTTATATAAAATATGTTTATAAAATAGGTAATTTCATAATTTTGCCTTCAGGCGCAGTCGGATAGGGTAAGGCGGGGCTAGTTGAGCATAGGGGCAAATTGAGCAATCGAAATATCTCGAAAACTATTCACCATCCGTTTAGGCACTATATGGCGGAAAGATAGAGGTTTGGGAGAAATAAACATCCCGCGATCGCTAGTAGCCGCTGGACAAATGAGTGAGACTCACGGGCGTTTTGTTTATTTTGAGACCAAAAAGTAAAAAAGTCATTCATCACGAGTTTTCGTCTGGTTTAGTCAAATGTTATTTATTTTTAACCAGGTAAATCTTATTCTTCCATATAATTATAGTACTTTTAATATGCACAGAGATTCTGGGTATAATTCTAACGGTTTTTTTAAAAACTCACTTTTATTTTGAAATTCCGAGTTGGGGTTAGTTGAGCATAGTTGCTAAACTTGTTCTGTCACTAAGACAATTACCATTAACTTCCAGAAATTGATTATTATTTTTAAGATTTAAGCTAAGTTTATGAGTAATGATATAAAGAAATAATGATTTTAAACCAAAATACTGAATATAATGGTAAAATAATTCCTAAGTTAATTAATCGTTAATTATTCAAAGCAAATTACTATAAGTTTTGTTTTCTCTGTCAATGAAGACTCTAAATATAGAACTGGTTATTAAAAACTTATTTTATTTCATCACTAATCGACATTGAACCTATAATTTCATTATACTTTTTTACTGCTCAACTTGCCCCACCTATGGGGTACATTGAGCATACTTGACTTTTTGCATTTAAACAGCTGTAGCTTTTAAATTTTACTTATTACTAAAACCTAGTATTGACACTTTTGTTAAGCGATAAACAACAAATCCATTAAGCCGTATAGCAATTTATTGAGACTTTTCATTGAGGAGCTACATCCGTTTAAGTAAAAATTTGCTCAACTAGCCCCGCCCTACCCTACAGTTTCTAATTTTTCTTAGTTTCCAATTTTTAAGCACACTTAATTCACAGAATATGCAATTTAATACTCGTATTAGGGCTTTGATCTGTTTCGAATATTCTACAGTGTTGCAAAAATAGTTTTGGTGGATATTTTATATTTTTAATACCGATCATAGTTTATCTACAGGTTGATGGCATATTGAAAATGTGATGCATTTTATTTATATATCACAATATTCATAACGTATATTACCGCACTCTATTACTCGTATACAATACAGCAATTTCAAACGCGCAACTCATGCAAATTAATGTATAAAATTTATTGATTAAATCTCTTGCAACTTTTAAATGTTGATTCCATGTTGATTTAAATAACCTAATTTAATTTGGTGATTTGTTCTAAAAACTTCAACCAACTAACCTTGCTCTAGCCGAATCTGCAACAAGATTCCTATAATAGGCCAAGTCTGTGGTTGCGGGATATTTTTCAATCCTTCCTTGTTTGATATTTTCCTTATGTGAATTTCCAACAACACTATTACCGGAATTATCGTTAAAATTATATAGAACAATGCTGTTAACAACATGATTGCAAAGAGATCCGTATACAACTGACAAAATCACAAATATATGTCAAATTAGCTCAGATAAGATTGACCTAATGCCACGTTATTGGAACAAATCATTGAGACAGATTTGATATAAAAATGGAAAAACAGATTAATTCAAATCAATGCAAAACCCTCATTGAATTGCGCGTTTATTTATTTTAAATATCATCACCCGCCTTTCGTCTTGTGTAATTTATTTATTATTTAGGTTATTGAAATTGCAAAAATCGAACATGATTTTTTATTATTTTATTTTTATCTTCACTTTTAAAGGTCATTTAGGAAACATTGAAAAAAAATATGTATTTATTTTTATGTCTGGATGCCTGTACGCATATACGTAACTATAGATACAAAACTATAATAAAACTAGTTGGTATTGGTATTTTGCCATGAGGCAAGTTACATAAACTTCCCGATAAATAATCGACTTGATCAATAAAAAATAAATTCATTTATAAACGATTAAAAGTATTCCCAGCGGATTTATAATATCACACATAATTGCAAACGAACGAACACGTTAACTCGGAGCTTTTTCTAAAGGCAAATTTTCAAAAACCAATAATTTTTATGATTGAACCAGTTGCCGTAGGACTTTAATGGTTTACTATGTTCATTAAGACCAAGTACTCTATCGTTATACCAAGTAAATCGTCTAATTTTAATTTTAACAAATGTCAAAGAAACTACTCATTTTCTCAAACTTCTATAAATTTTTAAAATTAAACTACTTGTCGTAAGGCCGTAATATTTCAATAAGTTGTATAAGACCATAAAATCAAAAAAGGTTTCATTAAAATCGGCTTAAATTTTTTTTTCAACAGTTAATTACAAGAAAACGGCTCGGTAGATTTTCACCAAAAACTAATCAGTATCATTCCCAACCAATATCTTTCAAACAGGTTTTGATTTTTTAAAATCGATTCGGTAGTTTGTGCTTAAATGTGGACGAAAAGTTTAACACTTTTTTCCAAATTTCAAAGGAACGGCTCGGCCGATCGCCGCACAAAATTGACAAGCGATAGTCCTCATTAAGACACATCAAATGGTTTCTAAATTTCTGAAATCGGTTCAGACGTTTTTGAGCAATCGTCGATGAAAGGTTTAATTTTGACAAATTACAAAAAAACGATACTAATTTTTGCAAATTTTGAGGAATTTTTAAAGATAACGAGTTGTCGTAGGACCGTAATATTTTAGTATGATCTAGAAGACTATTGTCAGAAAATAATAATAATAAAATTCGTCGAAAAAGAATTTTTCAACATTTTATTACAAGAAAACGATCTCTCCAAAAACTCATCAGCACGATTCCCAACCAATATCTTTCGAACGGTTTTTGAATTTTTAAAATCGATTCAGAACTGCGGGCTAAGACGTAGACGAAACTTTTTTCATTTTTCTGCTATTTACAAAGAAACGGCTTGACTGATCGTCGAGCAAAAATGATAAACGCTAGTTCTCATCGCAATGCATCGAATGGCATTTGAATTTTTGAAATCGCTCTAGCCGTTTTGAGAAAACGTCGATTTACGACAAAAAATCTGTTCACACGTACGCACACACACACACATACTTTTTCCAAATTTGGTCTCATTCGATTCAGAATGGCTTGAAACGTCGAGAAAACATAAAATTAGCGAATCGGATTTTTTGATGAAAACATAAACTTCTCCTTCAGGAAGTTAATATATGACAAAATATATATGTAGGAATTAACTTCAGATAGTTAAGAAATTTGCTTCGTATTGATAAACGCACAGAAGTTTTTACAAAAACTACGAGCATGTCCAGTTATTTCGAAGTCACCAAGAAAAAAGGTGGCAGTATCGTTTATTTGCTAGTGATAGTGATTTATGCAAAACAATTTTGCTGAATTTTCAATTTCGTGCCCATATATGAGTATTATCAAAATCAAATTTTCACAAGCAAAGATTTTAACTATTTAATCAAAACTTGTTTTATTTAGAAACCTATATAATCTATATTATGTTTTAATTTAAGTTAGGGTTCAATATCATTTAACCCCAAACAGTAGTGATATCAGTTTTCAATTGTACATATAGATCTAACTATGATTTCAAGTGAAAAGAGTTTCGCGGGGCATTGCTGCAACATCAAAATTAGAAAGAACGACAATTGGTGCAACCTTCTTATACCGTTCAGAAGTAAATAATTTTAATGATACAGTAAATATACTCAATAAATATATTTCAATTAAGTAAAAATAGCTTATAGAATAACTTAGATCTGATTGCTGTTCAATAACAAAACTAGTGGCGCATGATATCGTGCCTTAAGGCAAATTGCTGGAACTTCCCGTACCGAAAATTATTTATTACGGATAAGCATTGGTACTGAACCCATAGAAATGTAAACAAAATTTATACTTATTGTTAAAATCTCTATAAAATATCTGATAATTCGATGTGATAATTTGATTTGATGATCATTTTTGACCGCCAAATGGCGTATTTTTTTATTTTTTTATTAGATCTCCGAAACTGCTAGACTTGCCTTTATGAAAATTTGTTAAATTCTTTGTCTTGTCAATACAAGTAAAATGTTTTTTGAATTATTAAAATCAGACGCTCCGTTCTCTTAAAAACTGATTTGCCATTTTTGGCACTTTTTGCCCCGTACTTTGAAATAGCTAGGCTGCCTTCGCCAAAAACTAATCAGCACGTTTCCTTATCAATACGAATCGAATGTTTTTTGAATTATTCGAATCGGTTGATCGGTGTTCCCGACATCGTCGACGAAAATTTGTATCCGCACACACACACATACACGCACATACACACACACACATAAATACACACACACATGCATCTTTATTTTTCTAAGGTATGCCAAAATGTTCAGAAGGTTTTGAAACGTAAAGATATATAAAAATTTTATTTTCGATTATTTTGCGATTACTATAACTTGCCCTACGGGAAGTTAAAAAATCATTTATAAAGCAAAAGTAAAGCATTTATAAAGTATTAATAATAACGAAACTTTTAAATATTAGTTATTGATAAAAGTTAGTACTATGTTTTGAATAAGTAAAAAATGAAATATATTCAAAACTTTCAATTAAGAAAAAACAGTATTTTCAAAATATATTCGAAACAATTAAATGAATAATTTCACTTTTCAATTCAAATAATTATTAACTAATTTTATTTATCAAAAATGTGTTTATAAAATAGGTAACTTCACCACTATGTGGCAATGACAATAATATTCAAGGCTCGTAATCTTTATGAGTTTCTAATTTTTGTAACGTTTGCATTGTCATTATTTTTGAAAATAATTTATAAATCCGCATTTGAAATATAATCTTATCAATTGAGCTCGTATTAAATTTTGGCGACGGAAAAATAAATAACAGATGGTCATATCTCGGTGCAGCAGCAGTTCTCAAATCAATTCATACAAATATGTAAACATAAATAATTTGCTCTTATCGGCTTGAATGCTGCAAAGATCTATTTAATTATTTCTAAAAATAATTTTAATCGATTTTATACGTCAAGTCCCAATTTGACTTATCTAGTGGAAGAAGAAGAAGAAGAAGAAAATCTCTACATTAGTTGAAATTTTCTACATTATTTATTTGATTTTGAAAAGAAAGCATGTCTTGGCTCAATAGTAAAACCCTTGGCTCTTCATAGGGTTTTAGGTTCAAGGGGCGGGGCAGAAAGTAATATACTGTCCTAAATAAATCAACTACTACAACACATAACACGTATAAAACGAACAACTATCATACTATGTTCAGTAATTCCTAACTATAGAAATGTGTTGTTACGGTTTTTGAAATATTCATCTATCTTTTTTACCCTATATGCGTGGTAAAATGGTACAAA